AATGAAACTATCTACCTGCTCTCTACTACCACTCTCCCTTTCCATTAATTCATTAACAGTAAGTCTTTGGCTATCAGTTCTTCTCTGTTTGTCTGTTTGCAGCACAAGTATGGTGATTTGCTCACACCATTCATAAATTTTAAATCCATTTTCTTCCAAACATCATTGGTCAATAACTTGGTGGACCATACATATGTTTACACAGCAGTAGATATTTGTTTATGAACAAACAATCACAATCAAGTGAAGTCAGACCTGGGACATTCTTTCCACTCTGGTAAGGAAATTTTTGTATTTCTTCAACAATCTCATTATCTACCCCATAAGCAGATACTTTCTTGGTACGAAAGTTGAAAGCAGAACACACAAAAACAAGGCCTTGGCTGGAGTGTGAGGATACATGAAAAATGATTAACCTGATATCCTTGATTCTCTAAATGTGACTTTGCTTCAAAAATATCAGTTTCTATATTACATGTATCACTACCGATGAGATTGGTTTCCATTGCTCCCCGAACTTTATGCTTAATATTCACTACTTGTTTTAGCTTTAATTCCTGCACAGTTGAACCAAGGCTGAGGCTGTCAGTGCCATATTCTTTTACAGCATTACAATTGCAGGTGACAGATAGTTTTTCTTAGCCTCCTGTTCAATCAAATCTCAGATTGCTTGTGGATGATTTATTCTGTCAATATCTTGTATATTATGTGCATGATCAGGAGAATTATTATAATGTTCAATTTGAACGACTTGTGAGGATATTAGTCATGTGATTTTGATCTTGGCATTACAAAGATTCACCTGTTTTAACCCCCAAAACTCGAATCTCGATTGGCATTTAAAAAATTTTATCCACCCCCAAATCGATCGATGATTATATTAATTTCGCCTGGTGCACCAGTGGTGCACCATTGAGATCTGCAAATTTACCCTAACCCTAATAGCTCACATGTACTATATATGGTGCACCACTGGTGCACCAGGCGAAATTAATATGAATCACCAAACCTCGATCAGCTTTAAAAATTCCAACACACCCCTAAATCGATTGTCTGAATTGGTTGAAACAGGTGAAAGATTTGACAGTCGGACTGATGTTTGTCAACTAATACTCCTTCCTGTCACATGCTTGATTCTCGATGCTTAGCCAAGTGGCAAACATAACCTCTCCAGAATCACTTGTAAGAATTATATTGTGTCCATATGTTTGTTACCAATGGCCACCAACAAATTCTTCAGTAGAAAGTTTAATCAGTTTATTAATGTTAAACAGGCACATTCGCATTTCATTAGGAGTGATATTATCAATGGTATTCTTGTTGAAACAAATCAGAAATAAAACAAGATTGGATTGAAAATTATTTATTGATTGTTTATGTGTCTGTCACTATGACTTTGTTGAAAGTTTTTCATTGCCAGAATATCAATACTTAGCTATCTAATTTATAGTTATTCTGAAACCACACTTTACTTGTCCCATCCCTTTTGTCATGACATTGATAGATGCCTTTGTAATAATATTCAAAGTGTTCTTCTGAAACATTTCCATCGTTCTAACATCTCCTGATGTCTTATCCTGTCGTAAGTAAAAACACAAATAGCGCTAGTCAGTTAAAGCGTTTAGTAACTCATAATAATAAGAGTCAACTCACCCGACCTGAGTTCAAACATCGTATTCAAGTTTCAAATATAAAACGTTCTGTAACGTTAAAGCTGATGTATCATCGTAATCTAAAACCGACGCGTAACTTTGTTTTCGAAACAAATATAATGAAACTTTGTCACATGATACCCAAATTTGTGGTGGCGCTTGTGATGATTGTGGCGATCTGCAGCAGCTGTGGCACAAATCTGCTCACCCAGGCTCAGAAATTATGTGGTGTAAAGTTACTCCATTGCCCTGAAATGCCAATACCAACGGTAATACTCTCATTTATAGCAGTTTGCAAAATTTTAGGATCACCCAACTTAAAATTTTAAATGAATGAATGGATTTAGTAATTGATTTCATGCTTGTACCAACATCGCTACTGGTAACGGCGATGGTCCTTGGCAATAACAACGAACAGTAGGCTGTGACTCTTACCGCAACTGGTTCTCGTTTTTGCTCAGGCACACTCACTGGTTTTGGAACAACGCTTTTCTTTTCAATCTCAGCTTGATCTTGCCCAGATGGATACTGATGTCCTTGACTGTAAACCTGATGGTGCTGACGGCATGGCGTTAGCATTGTAGGGCAAATGATCTGGATATTTTGTAGATTGATTATGCATCTGTGATTGAGAAGGCGATGTTTGTGCGGTAGAGGAGTGTGAATGCTGGGCTTGATGTTGAGTTTGAGTTTGAGAAGCCTGTGTCTGGTGTGACGGTTGTTACGATTATGGGAGATGAGAAGGCGACGTTCGTGCCGTCAGCAATTATCAAATAACATAATAATAAATACATACACTGAATAGTCAACCTTTTTCCGAGTAATTCCACAATGCTTCAACCGTAGGTATAGACACCACCTTCTCAGTACGTGGTTCCATCTCAGCAACCAACTCGTCCAGATACCAGTCTGACTTCCGATCGATTAAAGCTTTAAGAATCTTCAATAAACAATCATTATCATTCTCGTACTCTATTCCCCAGACGCACACATTTAGTCAATTGAAAGCAACATATTACCTCCATGTCATCAACATCAAAATTTTTTCTTCTTCCCCGCGACACATCCCCAGACTTTATAAAGTCTCAAGACTCTGCCAACACTAGAGTGAGAAACGCTTAAAAGCTCTCTTATCTTATTCGAGTAACCATCGTGGTGCTATTCGCCAACATAAGTCTTCACTAAGATTCTTTGGCATCTTGCTGATTAATAGACTGTCTGTTCACTGAAAGTAGTGTAGATTACTTAGTTAATCGCTCATAATCGTTTATAATCGCTCTATATATATAACCACTAATATTATTTCTACGCTTAGTAATTTTCGCAAAAAGTCGTGACCAAATTCATGTGACTCTAAAATTTTGAATGGTCCTCGGAATCCGTAGCGTGTTGCATTCCAAAAGTTTAGTTCACTCAAACCGTCTATGGGAAGAATAGTATCGCCCGTCTCACTCAACATGCAGGTCACACGCGAGAGATACGTCGTGGAGTCAGCAATACTTTCCTACTTCACTCTCTCGTTGGGAGAAGAAAGCTTAGTCGGGTGTAGAGTTTGAACACAATCGCTGGTAAAGCTTTATTTGGGTTTCTGTTCGCTCTTCCCGTACTTTCCATCTCTTTACACTCTTGTACATTCTTATAATGCAACAACTTTCCTAGAGAGCCCCGTCCTTCAACACCCTATTCGCTTACCTCTACCGACAGTAGAAATATTACAAGGCATCCACTTCAACCAGTACTTTGTTCTACAACTATTACACTTGGTGTTGAATTCGAAGGATAAGGTGGACTGACAATCAGATTGGACCCGTTTATGAAAACGCCATTCGGGAATGACGAGAATAGACCCACTCCATACACGCTATGGATAAATCGATTCTCAAAAATGGTTTAATTATTACTGTATTATAGGGAAACATTGCGAATTAAATTAGCTTTGTGAATAAAGAACTGGACGAGCAATGACAGAGATTGTTTACAAGGTATGCTTGTATTTGTTCTTGGACCACGTGCATTGAGTGTACTTATACAATGTCTATACGTTTTCTTCTCTGCAATAAATGCTGACGGCTTCTTCTCTATATGCCTATCATTATAGTCGGCAATATTAGTGTATCCGGAGCTGTGAACGTCCATAATTGACAACACATGGACCGTCAAGATGTTTTGCGACCAATTCGCTATCTGCAACTTTATGAGCAAGTACGCCGTTATATAATATGACTGGCATCTATTTGCCATACCGTGCCATGCGCACCATGATCAGCCATTTTTTCAGATACCGAACTGCTAACTCAAAAAAAGGAGAAAGAAAAAAGAAAACAAGTCCAAAATACAAACATTTTCAATGCAGGTTCAAGCTCTAGTAATTATCAGACATACACAATTTATCCCATTTACAAGGTCTGTCGTCAAGTACATGTTAACAGCTTTTGACGTCCAGATACGACGTTAGTAATGTTTTTAAAAACGTCCTTTTTAGACCTACAACTTAAACAAGGGAGTTATTATCTCTTGTTGTTATACTCCATATGGCTTGTGTTACGAATCAATCAGTCTCTAGTCTTTTTTTCCCAAGTGAGAAAGTAAAGTAAATACGAGATATACCAATTGCCGTACATGAAAGGAGCTATCCCTTCACTAATGCACTCTTGATCTATATACTATGCAAATGAAGCCATTGACGCAAGAATATTCTTGCTAATTATACGGTACCTCGGCTCTTTTTCTTGCGTTTTACCTAGAAGAATTGTTTTATGTTGTTCGGGAGGAAACCAACGTTTATTTGCTGAACGCGTGACTTTGCAGCATGTCTAATATGAGCATTTAAGACGACTTAATGTTATCTCCACAAGGTTTTGTAAACGCGCAATGGTTCATAGGCACAATGTTTCGGTCTGAGGGTTAATATCGGGACACGGTGATCTGTCATTGGGGTCATTAAATTACTTGCTGTAAGACTAAATTTGATTACAACACACCCAATCCAACTTACATCATATCGGATCATGTATCCCTCCCCCGACTTATTTTAATTCCAAAATATCACATGATTATTCACTTTTTTTACTGCTTAAAGTAAGCGCAATTGCATATAATAATAAATACAAACTGTATTTGCTATGTAATATCTATAAAAGAGCTTCGTCTAAACGCCAAATCAAGCGCTGTTCTATCTCTTATCGTTATATTTACCCTACGTCTGATATGGCCGGTTTTAATAACAAATCGATTAATGAGAGTTATATATACAACATTCCATCCGATCAGGTGCATACTATAGACCCGAACTATACAGACAATCTTCCATTAAACCAAACAATTATTACGGGCTCAGGTCACGCAAACATGAGTAGCATGGACTCCAACGATATCTATTTCTATCAACCTCCCAGTCAAGCTATTTTTCCTTCTGATACCAGTGCTCTCGACTATAACAACGACTCAACAGGCCATTGGATACCGCTTATTATGGATACGTTAAAAACAGTGAAAATCGAGTAAACTATTCAATGATGGATTATATTTTGAATGACTGCAATTCATCTTCCCTTTCTTATCCTATCCTCCAAACATTAGTTCAAACACCTTCTACATCTCCAGTTTTTCCAACCAACTATGACTTGAACAACCACCGTGAACCCTCGATTTATCCTCTCTCCCAAACAATGGGTCAAACACAATCTACTCCTACCTTTTCAACAACGCAAGCATGATGACAAACGCTACGAGTCACGGACAAGTAATAATTATTATGAATGCTGATATTAACGTGGAAAGATTATTGTCCATTATTCAATCATGTGGGAGGGTGGAAAGAATATACATGTAATTTGTTTATTTAGCCATCACTTTTTTTATATCGAATTTTGTTGTTAGTGAATTTTGGGGAGAGTTACAATTATCTTATTTATATCAGTCGGGATACCTTTTATATGTTATTACGTGCTTTTATCGGCTCACTTTGATGTGGGAATAATAATTATACTTATCCGGAAGATACTTCAAGGTTTATGGAAGAGATACAAGCGAAATTATGTACAACATCCATAATAATCAGATTTTATTTTTTTTTCATATCGACAACACTTTTGTTCTCCATTTTTCGCCCTAAAGAGCAAGGCATAGAGAAATAAATTTATAAACTGACTTATTTGTATTGTTGTCAATTACAATTTACACTGTTAGCTAGACGTGTTTCTATGTTTAAAATATTACCTGGAAGATATAAATGCTTAATATAAACAGTTTCCATCAAATAACCGAGTCTTCAGTGAAATATCCTTTTTTTAAACCCTCCAACTCTTGCAATATTAGCCTTGTTTTATTTTTAAAAAAATTTTTTTGCGAATAAACTGTAATATTCAAATATTATCGACAGAGGTAGTAAGACAGACAAGATATATAACCATCAATAATGCTATTATAATGGTCGGATAATTATGCGTCAAACGTTGATTTAGAGTAAGAGAAATATGTCTATCTCATAGTATTAAATTATTCAATGTTTACCTTGCAAACTGTTCATGAAAGCCGATTGCATAAAATTTCCATTTCTTTATCAAATAATCGATTGGGACAAACAATTAACTAGAAATTTTGCCAAATTGCATTACACGAGAGCTTAGTCTCTATCGTCCGCATTATGCCTCGGCTAAGCCTTTTAATACTCAAATAATAATACTATTTCATCAAGTGAATTGTATTAAACTGAGAATTTTAACTATTTCTCGAGCTGTCACAATATACTGTTGTATGAAAAAGTTATCAGCTATTACATAACAAAAGGTAAATTTGTACATAGCAGAGAAATACAGTGTGTTACAAAAAAACCGTAATTTTTGCGCGCGACAAAAACGTGTCTAGCGCGCTCTGTTTACATGCAATTCGCGATATGTAAAATACAAAATAAAGCTGATAAATGAGGTTAACCTTTGGCGTCTTTATAAAAGCATTTATTATGTACACGCTTGGCATAATTAATTGTAAAATGCCTACATCCAAGCAAGAAACTCAACGTCAAAGCATATTACATTTATGGAATAATGGTATACGAGATGCCAAGGAAATCCATGCTCAAACAATTATCCCGCTCACAACAATTTACGACAATATTAGAAAATTGAAAAAAACTGGAACGATAAAGCATGCAGGAGGAAATGGTCGGCCCAAAAAAATTACTGCGCGTGCATCGCGGGCACTTGGACAATTTGTGCGCAGGGATTCTTCACTTTCCACAAGAACTCTTGCAAATAAATTTAAATTGTCCCAGATGAACGTTCATGTGTCCCATGCTACAATTGCACGGCATATGGCTCGGCTACTCAAAAAGTCTCCCAAGGGCCACCCCTATGCTAACTGCTACCCATAAACAACAACGAGTAGAATGGGCAACAATCACATTAACGATGACTGGAGTCGGACATTGTTTTCAGATGAGACGGCCTTTCAGCTTTTTCGAAATACGGTAGAGCGTTGGCATAAGGGTACTCGCCAAGTTCGTGCCATGCCAAAAGACCGAACAAAATTTTTTGCTTGGGGGGGGGGGGGTTGCATCAACGGCAAGGCCAATTTGTTTTGCTTTCGACAAATAATGGATGCTAATTTTCATGTCGACATTATCAGAAATCGCATTCCAGAGATTAATAGAATGTTTAGAGGGCACTGGCGATTTCAGCAAGACATGATCCGAAACATACTGGCCGAATTGCCAAAGCTTATTTGAAAAAAAATGTTTCCGAAATTCTGGACGGGCCCTCCAACAGTCCAGACTTAAACCCAATCGAAAATCTATGGGCAATCATAAAGAGAAACGTTGAAAGAGGATGCCAAAAAATATCAGCGATTTGGAAAAATTTATGACTGAAGAATGGAATAGTATCCCAAATAACATCCTAATTAATCTTGTAGAGTCAATGCGTCGGCGTTGTGAGCTTGTAATCGAAAGCAATGGAGAACGTATTAATTACTAATTATTAGTAATAAAATCTATAAATGTTTAACTTTCAAATAAGTCGTTTTTCATATAATTCGGATTGTTGGTTGTGGAACAACATGATTTTTTTTTCATTACGGTTTTTTTTGTAACACACTGTATATACGAAAAACATGTTTAAATAAGTCCTCTACGGTAAAGGCTACGTTTCAATACAGGGCGAGTCAACACTGCAAAACATATGGTATAACTATGCACTTAACGTAATTAATAAATTTAACTGTAATACATAAATGTAGAGTCACTGGCCATACACATGTTCTCGAGCTAGTTCACCTTACGCTTGCATCAAAGATTTCTACTTAACCATCGCTGAGAAACCTCTTGTCATGGATAATGATATACTAGGAGTAACGACTAATTAATCGTATCCAAGTAATAGTAATACTAACGTGAATTTACCTAGTCGACCTGAGATATTCTAGGAGTACTTCCAATTACTTACATTTATTTATCCTTTATAGCCATTCAAACGCATAAAATGGAAATAAATAAAGCCGAAAAGCATGCGACATATCCGGTGATGGATGACACAGGGAGCAGAAAACGCATAAAATCACGTGTTTGTAATATACTTGCGCCAATTTAACTATCATTTAATCATTGCGATAATAAAAGATAAAGTCCAATTACAAATACAATAACTAATTCTATTTATAGCCACAAGCGTTTTCTGCTCTGCTCTCTATCGTCACTCTGCCCAATGAATACATATGCATCAACATAAATATGGTACAGCCCGCCGAGGTTAAACCACGAGCCTTTGGCGAGTTATCTTGCCTTGTAAGTTAAATGATAGGTTGGGTTGTCTTGGCTCTTATCAGTGCGATAATTGCCAAATTAACTATTCCGTAGCTGCTGACAACATGCCCAGTATCGAATTAAATTTTTTACTCGGATTATTTTCCTGCGTTGGTTGTCAGCAAGCCATTACGGAGCAAGACATTTCAAGAGGCTATAACACATAACTGAAATTGTTAGACAGTTTACTGCGTTGTGAAGTAATCGTAACATTCGTTCGGGTATCTTCTAATCTGTTGTAAAGTATGGGTTTTCAGAGTAACTTGAATTTCGCTCAATAGAGACATACTCTAAGGAATAAGAGCAAATGTAAACATTGCGTAGGTTTAACGCATAAACAATAATTTGGTTGCTTATCTTCGATCTCGAAGTAACTTATGAGCTTTATTATTAGTTATACGTGTCGTCGTATCGTAAAACAACAAGGATAATGCTAAGACGATAAAAATTGATTAATTCTAACATTATTTAGTCAAAGACTTTTTAACACTGAGTTGCAATTTTTACATTTTTATGCTGTTCGGATTATTGCTAGAAAACCGAATTTTGTTCAAAATATGAGATGGTTTTATTTATCTGCTACAAAATGAATATTTAAAATGCGGTCTATAAATAGAACAAGTAGTAAAAACTTAATGTGTTCTAGTTGAACGCTATATGTTAATAGCACGTAAGTGTTTGTAAATTTGGTTGTTGTGACTTGTTTCTTGTTTAGAAATATTGTATGCCATTTCGAATGTTGCCATGGACATTTTAGTTGTAGAAGGGCTGAGCTACTTTACAATCTTTCTCTAGTAAAGGGTGGAGGATCTTGGGCAATTATTCATACTATATATTTCTCAAAGCTTAAAGATAGGAATAATCATGTGTTATAATGTTTAATACGTTAAATCGAGTGCTTAAAAATAAAAGCGGTATGGTGACTTTAGATAATAATGTGGGTAACATTGGCTTGTATGATTATAACTCACTAGGTCGCTGTCGGGTAGAGATAACATGTTTATGGAGTAAACAGACGGGATTTTTATACGACACGTATATATCATATTTCTATGCTATTCAGTGCAAGTAATGATTGGCTCATTGATATCTCGCAATATGTAATTACGCACACCACAATTCAATGTTATTACGCCCACTAATTTATTATACAATTCTGAAAACAATACAAAGGGATAGACATTTAGGGTCGAATATCTCATAGCTCCTTTGAAAGCTTTTGACCAAACATAGAGGACATTGTTTGCAGCCTTTCGTATTCGTTTTCGAATAATGATTTGTTGCTACAAAAGTACGATAATATCATATTAGTAAATAAGCAAGTTGATGTTATTAATGTTGGTGTTAGTATATATATACCTGCACTCTTTAGTTGTTGCATCCACATTCTCCTTCTTGGCAGACGCAGCCAGAGCCGCAGGAGCATCCACTATAATTCGAGATAAATTCCATCAGTTAGCATTTGGTTTGGGCTCACAACTTTATTAATCGACGTTTCGTATGCTTACGTGTTGTTGTTGACGATGGCTTCCATTGCTAAGTTGGTTTGAGTTTGAGAGTTTGAGAGTTTGGTTTGAGTTGTTTGTTATGCTTTGTTAAAACGGCCCTGGAGGGGAAGGATGAAGGCAAAGACCTCGTCCTTTTATTAAAGATTTGGAGGCTTGCACACAAAATTAATTGACATACCAAATTAATTGTTTACATGTCACAACTTTATTATCGTCCTATCAAAAATATGCCGCATCTCAGCAGATGTGACACAGAAAAATTTAATGCCGCAAATTTCATTGTTCAGAACCATATTTAACAAATTCATTGTTGCAAAAATGCCGCACCTGCATGAGATGAAAATGCCGCACTTGCATGATTCGGAAAATGTCGCACGAGAACACTTGCATACTTTAGTATGAAGCAAGAAAATGGCAATTTGTCTTACCTTGCATACGCCAGTGTGTTATCGTTTAAAAATGAATTTAGTCTTTGAACTTATCGATAGAAAAGTCCACAACTCTTTTTTTTTAGATAGAACAACCTCGGAATACTATCAAGTCTCTTGAAAGCAACTTTTTTTTTTTACATATGGGCTGAGCATGAAGTTTGCAACATTATCACAAACAAGATTTGCAAATTACAAAGATTTAGTACAGTAAATTAGATTATCTCTTTTCATAAACGCACAAATAAGAGTTTTAAGAATAGATAAGGCTAACGGGGATTAGTAATGGGAATACAGCTATCTTTAGCATAAACATTTGACAAATAACAAGAAAAAAACCAGTTACATGCAAAATTAACAGATGTGAGGCTGGCGCCCCAATCTGCAAAATATCTCAAGTAGTCTCCGATAGTTATTCCGAAAATGGTGCCTTTAATATTAATATATTAAACATATAGTAAACATGACGCCTTTATGGTCAAAAGTCCAAAGATATAATTATAACGCGTAAGACTAGCACATTCTAGTACATTATAGCATACAACATTCGTTATGTAAACGACCTTTCTACATAGAAGAGACTGTATGCCAATCATGCGCACATGCAATTTATGCATGATTGCTTTTTTGGCCTGTACATGGCGCAAACTTGTTATTTTTTTCAGATTATCATCCGCCACTATTTGGGGAATAACGTAACAATGGATTTTATTTTATTAAAAATTCTTGTATCGTTATCCAAACGACACAAATCCACAAGCGCACAAATAATGTCATTGCAAAGTCACGTTTATACAGGTTTTTCCTTATCATTAATGGACACAAAAACGCCTCTTAATACTTGATTACAAAATGATAATGCCCCGATAATCACGCAAACAAGACAAATCAATAAGGAAATCTGTTATTATCCACTGTAACATCAAGATTATGTAAGCTGTACGCGGGCCTCTATCGCATCGGGTTGCTTGTAGGTGTCATGGTCTGGACCTAAATGTCCCATTGTGGCTAAGCAATCAAGTTTGATATGAACCTTCTGATGACTTGATTGGTTCGGTTTTCCTTACCTGTCTTCCAAGCTGAAACAGAAACCTCGGCAATTTGGAGTATCAATAAATATCGCAAGTATTTTGTCCTACTTTATTCTGATTAATTTACCGTCTATCTTATTATCATACACTGTATAACTAGTGAAAATAGAAAACACAACACGGAATGCTACTTTGCTACGCACCAAGTAGCTATAGAGTTCGCAAACGTCAAAGAAAAGACAATTAAACGACGGGTATATACTTCTGGAGCAATTATTCACTGACACATAAAGAGACGTGGAAGAATTAACCACATAAGATTAAAGCTTCTCATGTATTGATGAAACATACACAGTTAAAGATTATGTAAACACCATATTAATGCAGATGTGATCTTGATCTTGATGATAGACAAACAGCACAGCATCGCATCGCCGATCACATATTACGGTCACTCAGGGTCTCAGACCACTATATATGTATATTTTTGTCCATCCTTTGTAGATCACACCTAAGTGAAATTGATATTAACATATTTATAATGCAAATAGAAAAGTTCCATAAATGGTCCTTAAAGCATAACATAAGAGGTATTCAAAAGAATTGTTTTTCTATTTCCGTCGATTTCAGCAATCATCTTATTCCACGAGCCCGATTTTCATTTCTTTCTATAGTAAAACGCCTGTAGATTTAAAGAATGGAAAACACATAATGTACGCATAATATATATAACATACATACAATCCGCATGTAGTTATATAGTCGAAAAATGCTTCACTTTATCGAAAACACTAATTGGCCAATTAAAATGCATATATTATCGTATAATAAAAATAGTATCTATCATGTTCTGTAAATACTTCAAACATGACTGCACAAATCGAACCCAGGAAATATAGTACGGCTTTATCGTTATGTTATGCATGTCAGCTTTGTTTATTACGTGAGACAGATAATAAATTTGAGAGTTGTAATTGTAAAAGAGTGAAAGCTACGAATTATGTCGCATTATCTCCCCAAATCAGAAACAGGAAAAAAGTAAGATATTTGGTTATGATTCCAACTTTCGTGAAAAGCTTAATCTTCTTTTTGTTCCAAGTGCCACAGCAAATATGTACGGCTTGCAAAAGATAACATCCTTCGCGCTCTCATCAAGGAATATGAGTTGTTCGGGTGAATATTATTCTCCAATTTTAGTACGAAGCAATCCATTCCTTTCCATAGCGGCTTTACGTAAATCTTCACTAATATCCTTTACCATGCTGTGCCCAATAAAATTGCCAATATTGCTATACAACAGCTAAATGACAACAACTTTCGCTAGCATTCGCGCCTGTAATCGTCCAGTAACGCCCAGCAATGGTCAGTAATCGCCAGTAATCTCTCTATAAAAGCTAACACTAGAACTGCTCGTAAAGTGTTGAGTGCCGATCGCAGAAGTTTATAGAGACTTGGTGTCGAGTGACTTGTGTGTGTACAAAATTTCAGGGATTTCTATTATTTTGAAAAGTGCGATAATAAAGTATGATTGTAATGAACTATAAATCTTGTTTTTGATCTTTATCGGCGACATTATAGTGCATTATTGCCCCCACGAGGGAAATTTTGGAACCTAATTTTGCTTTTCGAGTTCGGTCAAATAGGTTCTTCTTGGCAACGTCATGATGTAATGTTATGTCGAGATCTGCCATCTTTAAGGTAGAGCGACCCCCGAGATGTACTGAGATGCTCGAACGATGAAGGTGCTGTATCATTGGATACTTGTGTGGTAGTCTTTATGGCGGCGACAGCCCTCAGCAATGTACGTGCATATGGGAGGCTCGTTGGGGATTTTGAGGAAATATGGCATTTGTATGCCTTTATCTGTAAAGGTGATACGTGATTAGTAATTGTAAACAGGCAGAGGCAGATAATAGTTTTACGAAAAAAAATTTTAGACATACAGTAAGCGTATTGGAGAGCAAGCAGTAAGTATACCGGCTACTTCTATAACGTCATCAGAAGTGAAAGACGCTGTAGTGTAGAAAAATGGGAGAAAGATATTTTCTTTTGGCATAAGGAACGTCTTGAATACATTCGGGTATTGGAGCAAGATGTATGTATGTTTCGATTATTTGGATTAGATTTGCAAGTATTGTATACCGCCAATTTTTAACGAGTTAGTCGGATGTGTTGTGAGTGGTATTTCTGGAAAAGATACTTGAAAAGGGTAGCTAGTGGTTTCATCCCTAACTGTCCATTTCGCTGAATGCGGATATACCATGCGCAAACAGTACGAACACGGAATACACGGAAATTGTGCATAATCGTTTTCATAAAGTGAGCGTAGGATCTTGTACAATGAATGGGAAGGCCGCCAATAGACGTTGTAAGAGAATCCTCGTGTAGGGATGGAGGCGTAGTAGAATCGGAATTTGCAAACGATGAATCGCCAGTATGAAAACTCGTTTCGTTTACATCGAGGAAGAATATATGTCAAATAAGTTGAAACTTGGTGATTTCATCAGGCATAAAAAAAGCTAATTGTAACCTTCGCTGTGTAACATATTAATATCAAGCTGCGGATCAAATATTTAGCCTAGCAATTTTGGTTGGTCACGATACAGATATAGTAATAGGAAAACCATGAAGCGTAAAGCAGAAGTCAGTTTCGTCTAGCCGTTTTTAGTGTTAAATCGGGACACTGCTACAGATTAGTAATTTGTGATTGCGCAAATCAGCCTTTTTTAGCGTTAACTTTTAGCGTTAACACGATACAGATAGAAAAACATGGCGTAAACAGCAAGTCAGTTTTCGTTTTAGCTGTTTTTGGACACTAGCTACAGATTAGTAATTTGTGATTACGCAAGTCAGCCTTTTTTAGTGTTAACTTTTAGCGTTAACATGATACAGATAGAAAAACATGAGGCGTAAACAGCAAGTCAGTTTTTGTTTTAGCCGTTTTTGAACACTAGCTACAGATTAGTAATTTGTGACTGCGCAAGTCGATTTTTTGTTCAGCCATTTTTAGTGTTTTTTATATAATTTAGAACTTTATTGAGCCATTTTTAGTGTTAAATCGGACAATAGTAATAGATACAGATGGTACTTGTGAAATAATAATGAGGCGTAGCATACACGAAATCGAAGTGATCGTACGTTATTTCGCTTATTTTTTTTAATGTTAGATAATACTTTGTGGAATCAAATTATGATAACATAGCATATACAAATCAAGTGATCGTAGGTCGATTTCGCTAATACTAAGCCTTTTTTAGTGTTAAATCGACAATAGAAATCAATGAGGCATAGCATATAGAAATCAAAGTGAGCAGATAATTTTTTATGAAATCAATGCAGGCGTGGCATACACAAATCAAAGTAATCGTATGCTTGCAATTCGGACAATATATACAGATAGTACTTTGTGAAGTAATCGCAATAATAAATCGGACAATAGATACAGATGGTACTTTGTTAAAATCAAATCCATATATAATCATGATAAAGTTGAAGCGTAGCATACATGATATCGAGCTGACCCCGTAAGGCGAAAAAGGGAAATGTGTAATTCATGAATATACAGTATAAGAAAATTGGGAAGTTTTTTTTATACAGAATCTGACGAAAGAAAAAGAAAACGTTCAAATGACGATTTTATGCCGAGAAAAAAAAATTATGTGAATGCTGCACATGCACAACAACAACAAATGGCAGTGTATTATTTTCTTCTTTTCATATAAAAGCACATGCTGGTGGCATGACTAATTCACTTGTCTGGGACATAAAAAATGATTGGACATGGACATGTACCTGTCCTGGACCCATGTCTGTGTCCGTGACTGCACTGGTATGATTTTGAGCGAATATTCATAAAATGCACAAGTAAAAAGACGCAAAAAATGTTGTAGAGTCAATCAAACTGGCGCGTTCACTATTTTGAGTTTATACGCTTGTTCCTGCTAGACAATTTAAATCAAGAAAGATGGATGAGACAGTTGATAAGAGAGTTTGTAGAACCTTTCAAGTATTTTAATCTTTGCGCTATTTTGAAATGGTATATAGCTAACGAAACATTTTTATGTAGGAATCCAAGACAGGGGAGCCCAATATATATTCCGATAGAACCACCTCATTGTCGGCCAATTCCAATAATAATCATATGGGACGCAATAGCCCTTCTTTGGACAATATACATAATGAGAATGGAGTCTTACAAGTAAATGGAGCTTCATGACCAGAAGAAAAAATATCATTCCAGAATGCTAATTGTCTTGGCAGACAAAATTGCGATGATGGAACCGAATGTGTTGGGTATGTTCGGGGCGTCAGTTCGCAGTGGAATACAAACAGAAACAATAACGAACAAGATGTTGTACGAGAACAGCAAATCAAAATAGCAATGTCGAGGGTGAGGATTATACCGATATTACAATGGTGCCATTCGAATGTTGGGACAACTGCGCCGAATCGGTGCCTTGGCGGACGAAAGAGAAGCCGAAGACACCGTGTCGTCTTGTGGTCCCGAACGTTCGATCTACCGAAGCAAGAATTCCGGAAAATCCATTTATATTAGTCGAAACGATCGCAAATAAAAAAGATCGTAAACGCGTTGCACATTATCTTAACCGTAATATTGAAGGTGGTGATCCTTCTACTTGTATGTGTTATATGGAAATTGTTAAACGCTATGGTTTTGATCATATTATTATCATCGGGGAATGCTACGCTGGAATTCTTTTCCTGGACTGCTACGGTCGTGTGTTCGAATGGGACTCAATGTGTAATGTTTTATGGTCACTTGGGGATTATAGGAATGAGGCGACAAAGGAGTCTCGGACTGGGCGTGTAAGATGGGTTTTAGAGTTCGATGGGACTATTGTTGAATTTGAGGATGTTAAAGATGGTATGTCGAGATTTTATTCATTCTCTTTTTTATCTTGAATTTTACAATTAATTTCTTTTCTCCTAGATTCATCAAATAAACTAACCTTTGATAACCCCGCTACAAAAATGATTGATATTCACCCTGTTGCAAAGGAAAAAAAAAGAATTTGAAAAAAAAAAGAACTCGAAAAAGAAACAACATTGATCTGGTTTCTATGTCGTATTATTCTCAATTTCGATTATGTTTGCTATTAATATTACTCGCGTAAACAAATAATTAGTGGTCATTTGAATACACATAGCATGAGACAAATTTACTGTATTTTCTGTAATTTGCAGGCGTATATAATAAAGCAGATGGTTTGATAGCAAAGAAAGTACTAGCAATAAGCTCTATTCCTCCCTTTAAACATGATCTACTCAATCATTTATATCGTTTAATTAGCCGACCTCTTACTTTCAATATATTCATTCTTTAAAAAATAGCTTAAATAGTCAAGTTTGAAGAAATAAAGATAAGATTTGACCTTCTTAATTATCTGTATGCGTGTATTTTATCGAACTCATGAGTCGCTGCACGTCTGATAAATCATATTTTTTGGATTCATTTTAGCCCTATACTGGGGGGTGCGATCACTTTCGATAGTGAAAACACACAAACTTTAACCTCGATAACTTTTAAACGAAACAAGCTATGCTCATAAAGTCCAACAAGATTTCAAGGCCCTGCTGTGTGGATGCCATATGTCTTCACATGATCTAAGACATTGTAACCGAGTGAACCAAAATAAAGAAAGTTGGTAGTAAATATTGTTAGGACATCCTTTGCAATTAATTAGAGTACAAGAGTAAGCGAAGCTAATAATAAATGTCGCCGCTGATTTCAGCATCAGCTCCCACATCAGCACTCCGTAGTAGATGCAAGCTCTATGTTGATTGTCTATTTCACCTCCGATAAAACTGAATATAATAATAAGTATAATATGGCTTTAATTAAGCTTTGTGTATTTTGATATTGATTTTTATCGCATGTAACATGGGCTTGCCTAAGCCACCACAAAATCCAGAAGCTAAAATTGTGTTTGTTTGGAATATGTCAAATGAGAATTATGTCATTCAGATTGGAACCAAGTACAGTACGACAACATTAGTAATCTGCTATATGATTAACTGATATTGTGCCTATTTGTTTGTACGATCAGTATCAGCTAAGCATGTGTTAAGTCATCAAATGAGATCTTGCATACTCATGTAACCAAATCTTCTATAAAAAGTCGTGAGGAACTAGTAGGTTTGAACATTGATTAGACCCGATTTATAAATCCAAATGACAATGAGATAGTGTTTGTATGAATGTTTTTATGGCATACAATCAAATTAGGCAATTCTATGTGGGGTGCTTTCTATAAGATCGACTTGGTAAATGAAGGTAGTGTAGCCGTTGTATTTGTGACGGTGCTTCCAGAATCAGCACGGATCCTTCCAGCCATTCGTAGACCAATAATTTGTTATCACATTTGTCTATTACTATGCATCGTACCACTATAAACATGTATTCGCCATCATTTAATATGTTCGATCTTGAAATTCTTAGACGGCGAGGATAATTCTTGAGTATCACATGATTGAGGGCCAGACTTTTGATCGGTTCTAGACTATGTGCAGAGTATGCCAGCTGTTTAGAAATTGGGTACATGTGTAGCAAGTATAACATGACAACTTCTTTTCCCTAAAAACTAAATCCTTTCACCTCTGTTTTTCTCGCAAGCAATGTAATTTACTTTAATGGTTATCGTAGTCTTAATTGAAGCCCATTCTAGCCTATTATGGTCATCAATCAACACAATGCTGTAATAGCAGAGTCACAGGCAAAACAAGGCTGAATTTCGTGAGAAACACAGAGAGAAATACAGAGAGAAATACAGAGAGAAATACAGAGAGAAACACAGAGAGACTCTACCAACATTCTCTTATAACAAATGCATCTCGTGTGACCAAACACTGACCCTAGAGCTGTTTTTCGGGAATTTATAAAAAATAAACCGAACAGCCAAAATGCCTAAATTGCAAAATTGTAATCTTTTCCCTGTAACGCAACCCACTTGTTTCTCTAATTTAACGACTTACATAATATCATCGACTTACATGACCAAACATTAACGTTAATATAAATAATAAATAAACCTGAATTGCAAATATTTGACATGTGCGTCGCTATCATAATAATCGGTCAAGTTTTGATTTAAAGTTGCATTTAATTTGCACCAATCATAGTTTCTCGAAAGGAAACCACCGTAGCCATAAATGTGAACTTTTAAGGCTTTTCTCAAATTATAATATAAGGCTCTTCGATACTACCAGTTCGCTCATGCATGTCTTATGACTGTAAGAGGTGAACTTAGATGCGGAATTTTATAACTACTCCAAATGCAGAACAAAAAGCTTCGAGCGATTTTAACGACGGAGTAACTGTGGCGGAATTAATACCTTCCGTCGATTGGGCGTCCACTCCGCTGGGGTCTGTGAACAGTTGGCCTTTATGGCTAAAGTCTGTAGTGGTAAGTAGTAGTCGAGCTGAAGCATAGAAATCACATTGGGAAGAGCAATGAGAACGGGATATAAGCAACACGGCATAAAATGTTGATCAATTCATACAACAGTATTTGCAGCTAAAAAAGTGGGTTTCTCGCAGAGGTAATCAATTGTAACAATTCATAATATTCAGGATTTATGTCTTCACTCTGTGCTTCCCACCCAACTATATATTGGCCCCGAGAGGACGGTTATACACAATCAAAGTAAGTACATAGTGAGCGATTACCGTGCATTCACATAAAGTGCTCGAATCATTCATTTCTATTCCATTTATTAGAGTGGAGAGATACTTTTCAGGCAACACATCCTTCTTGTAAGTCATTCGATACACTATAATTGTACGTGACGTTAGTAAAAGTCGTGTGGTATACTAACAAGATTCATTAGGTTTGGGAAGGTCTGCGTTTGAAACGCTTACCGAAGAACTACTTCAGGCGTATGTTTTCATCACATTAACGAAATTTCCAATCAATCGTTTCCCCTATCAGTAGTGATTGCTAATTTTTTTTGGCGCTATATATAGAGCTTTTGCTGGAAAAGCCCAATTCAAAAACGATTATCCTTTGCACGTTATGCGTTTTGGGTATATGGAAGAAGTATACTTTACACTCTCATTCAGTCCAATATTTACTGACACAGGGAGTATAGGGGGAGTAATCTGTATTCTGGAAGAGACAACAAGAAAAGTACTTTTGACCAGAAGGTTGAAGACGATAAATGATCTCACAGACGGAATACAAGGTACGTGAATATGTACTGTGTAAGACATACGGTGACAGTAAAATCGCTCATGATCCGATATATTCACATAGGGGCGAGGTCTATAGCACATGCTTGCCGCTTAATCACCACAGTTCTCCAAGAGGATATGGGTATACCATTTGTCATACTATACCTCATTGAGAATCAAATAGTAGACTCTGAGTACAAACCAAAAAGTGTGCGACTAGAAGCTACAACATTCGATCGTGATCTAGTACCTGTCAAAAGCATGGACGGGACGGAAGAATATATGTACTTTCCTGGACAATCGAGCCGAGATTTGCCGAATTATTTGTTTGATACGCCTGATCTGATAGATTTGACCGATTCCGAAGAAGATATTGATAGTACGACCGCGCACACTGTATCTGAACACTGGCCGATAAAACTTGCAATATCTAGCAACCAGAATGTAATTACCAGATTACGAGATAACTCGACGGCTGTATTATGTCCGATAACTTCACTAGTCGATGGGAAAAGTTTGTTGACTGCTGTGATGATATGTGGTGTTAATAAACATTGGGTGCTCGATCAAGAATACAAGGAGTTTTTTCAGGTATGATTATTCTATTGTTTGAGAGTTTGTAGATATTATGTAGACCTTATATCGAAATTTGTTTTACTTTTGTAGCTTGTCATTGACCGAGTGAGCTCGTGTTTGACACGGAGTCGGATACGAGAAGCAGAACGAAAGCAAGCACATGACTTGGCCGATTTAGATAGGCAAAAAATTTTATTCTTTCAAAATATCAGTCATGAATTACGAAGTATGCTATTTCTGTATGTCGCTATGTGCTTTACAAGATTTGCTATCGAGTCCGCTTAGAGCGTCCTAACTTAACCGATTGTCGAACTAGGTCCATTGAGTCTTATGCTTTTGCCTTTGGGAGAGGCAATGGAATTATGCCCAAGGGACTCTCAGACGATGGATCGTCTCAAACTAGTTCAAAATAATAACCGAAGACTGCTCAATTTAGTAAATACTTTGTTGCAGGTAATTTATTTACTAGATGACGTATAAATATCGCATTGTTTGAGAAAATATTGACAATAATGCCACTTTTTTAGTTCGCTCACGCAGAAGCGGGCCGACATTACGCATGGTTTTGTGAGTCAGATATTGCAAGGCTGACAATGGAATTGGCAGCCAATTACGAAAGCATGACTAAATTTCTCGGACTTGATTACAAGCTTGGCATTACCAGCGATGAAGAACTTGTCCGCCAGATGAATCAGAAAGTATTTATAGACCGGGATATGTACGAAAAGATATTCTTTAATCTATGTAAATATAAACACTTATTATCATCTGACGTGATACAATTATTTTCTACCTTACGCTAATCTGTTCGTTATTCTTTAGGCTCAAACGCGTTTAACAATATAAGGACTGGTGGAGTGACTGTGCGACTATTTGCTGAAAAAAGGGAGGAGAGAGACGGTGTGGTACTCGAAGTATCTGATACAGGTACGGCGTCGATGTCAAATTCATTATATAGACTCGTGACGTGCATCTAAACAACTGATGATTGTTGTTTATAGGCGTTGGCATACACAAAGAACATCTTTCCAAAATTTTCCAACGTTTCTACCGCATCGAATCACGACAACCACGCTGTCGTGAAGGCATTGGGATCGGTCTTGCCCTCGTTAAGGAGCTTGTCGCTCGACACGACGGTGATATTTCGGTCGAGTCTCAAGTGAATGAAGGCACCACCTTCCGCGTTTGGATTCCCGCTGGATTCGATCATCTCCCTCGGAAGCAGGTTCGCTTCGAAAACGATCAACAAGACTCTAGCTTTGCCCAATGTTTGTATTTGGGTGCAGAACTGTCAGAGTCAAGTCACGGATCAGGTGAAAATGATCCAATACAAGTTGATGACAATGGTTTGAAACGTATGCGATCATCATCAAGTATGGACACTGACTTTGACAATACACGAAAATATGTTCTGCTTGTCGACGATAATGCAGATATGAGGTTTGTTCAGTGCTTGTGTTATTGTTTCATATAATGAGATTATATCTAATGTATACGGTATTTTGATTATTAGAAACTACTTGAGCACTTTGATTAAGAAACAATTCAACTGTATATGTGCTGTTAACGGTCATGATGCCCTTGAAATCATAAAACGTTCACCACGGTCACCAGACTTAGTTCTTAGCGGTAAGACCTTGGTGAATTGTACGAGTGTAATGACAGAAATGGAATGTTCTTGTGCTGAGTCCTTTATTTACCATTTAGACGTTATGATGCCCGGCATGAATGGCTACGAGTTGCTCACCGCATTACGTAGCGATCCAACTACACAAACTATTCCGGTGATCCTAATATCAGCTCTATCGGGAGAGGCTAGTGTTGAAGGTAAGTGTCAACAGGAGCAGCTCATTAAATGTGTTCTTCAGTCACTACAACTTTGACTTGAATGTATTTATGTAGGATTGGAAAAGGGTGCAGATGATTATATAGTTAAACCATTTGATGCTCATGAACTTATGGCCCGCATTCTTGTGAACATCAAACTCTCAGACGTTCGTCGCCAACTGATCGCTGAACAGCGGCGTCAATTTGAGACTAACGAACTGTTATTTACAATAAGCAACAAAATACGTTCAGGCTTTGAAATACAAGAAACACTTGATACTGCTGTTTCAGAAGTAAAGAAGATATTATCATGTGATTGTTTGCTAATAGTCCAAAACATTGTTACAAAAGAAGGAACAAACTGCAAAGTGATGGCTGCCTCAGTGCATCCGCCAGAGGAGCTTGTTGGGCGTGTGATTAATTGTTTTGCTGATAACGAGACCTTGGTTGATTGTAAAATACAGCCAACAGAGGAATCAGCTATTGACACTCTGTCAACAGCTGATGATGATACTTGTTTGGCCTCGGATTTGCAGTCTAACGAATTAAGTGATACTAGTGGTTTGAGTGTAAAAGTCTGTACAGACTTTGAATCGCAGATATTGCGTCGACGTGTGTCCTATATTAGTTTAGCTATTTGTTTGAAATCTTCACTGTGGGGATGGATACTTGCCTACCGACAGCCGCATTGCAAATGGACAGCGGAAGAAAAGACATTCTTTCAACAGGTCTCAAATCAGATAGGGTTAGCCATCAGTCACACCATCCTCATTGAAGAGAAATTAAAGCGAGAGGCGCAAATGGAGACTGCTAAAGAGGCCAACAAAGCAAAGAACCAAATATTAGCCAATACATCTCATGGTAAGAAATATCGCATTGACTTGTTATTTATTAATTGATACACTTGATTAATCTGCATCTAAACCCACAGAACTTCGCACTTCAGTTGGTGCAATCGTCGGGGCCCTCTCTGCATTCGAAGGAATAGAACTCACGTTTGAACAACGAGACATGGTCGAAGTAATGTCGCGTGCATCTGACGTTGTCTTATCCGTAGTGAATGACATTTTGGATGCAGCCAGATTAGAACAGCAAAAACTTACATTGATAAGCCGCAGCTTTGATCTATTGGATCTCGTAGAAAAGACTGTGATAATGTTTGGCGAGCGCGCTGGTGCAAAGGATATAGAATTTATTGTCTCGTATGATCCAGAGACGTTTCCAAGATATGTAAATACGGATCCGGAGAGACTGCAACAAGTGATAATGAATCTTTTGTCTAACGCGTAAGCAGTTTGCCGATTATTTTTGTGCTTGATGTTTTATAAGAAACCCAAGTCTTCTGACATTTCAATTCATCCAGAATCAAATTCACAGATAGTGGTGAAATTGTAGTAAAGTTGTCAATAAAAAACGACGACGATGCTGTTGCTGCTGAAGCGGACAATAATAGTTACCTGTATGTAGAAGTATCGGACACTGGCGTCGGGTTGGTCTCATGCTTTTTTTTTCTCTTTGAAATTGAGGTAAAAAACATTGCTATTTTTATCGGTATGACTCATATTCATTCCAACCCACTTTAGCATCGATCCTGCATCTATTCAACATATTTGGGAGAGCTTTTCGCAAGGAGATGCTTCAATGACTCGTGGTCGAGATGGATCTGGCCTGGGTCTTTCGATATGCAGAAGTCTGGTTGACCTAAACGGTAGTAAATGCGGAGTTGATAGCGAACTTGGCAAAGGAAGTAAATTCTGGTTCACTTGGAAGATTGATTATTTAACCATGTCGCCGATACCCACGACATTGTTTCCCAAAGCCGACTCGCAAGATCAGTCGAATCGTTCGGGATTTAAAGACTTTTTATTAGCAAAGCCCATGTGTGTGTTCGTTATTGATCCTATAGAGATCGCAAGAACATCTTATGCGGCATTAATACGCGGGTGTGTTAACAAAGTATATACGTACACAGACTGTAAAAGTGCAATTGAAGCGGCCAGAGAACTTAAAAAGTGTAACGAGCCTACATGTGAATTGGTATTTTTCAGTCTAAAAAATGATAATTCTGCGATCATTGAGGATGCGGCTAAAGAACTGAGAAATATTTGTGGAGAACAATTATCGATTGTACTAATGGTATTTTCGTCGATTGATGGATGCGCTCTTGCAAAGAGCGTGATCGAGAAAATTGGAGGAAACGTTGTTGCCATTTGTAAGCCAATATTGCAGAAGCGTATTATAGATTGTATTTCTAATTTCGATAAGTTTATGACCAAACTTGGTGAGACGAGTAATACGGAAATCGAAAATAATAGTTTGTCGATTTATAGTAGATTTTATAACCACAATCGGCCTACAGTTACGACAAAGGATACAGAGGGACCGGCCATAATTAGAGGTGTTAGACAATCTTTGAGTGACTCCAAGACTGAAGGGGTCAGCGCTGGACTTGTCCCAAAGAAGAGATCTGCTTCTAGCAAATTGAGAGATCAGTCTAACAATGAGGAAAGGGCAACGAGTAAAATTGCAAAAACGTCCAAATGTATTCTCTGCGTGGTAATAAATTTGTTCTATATTTCGACATTGTCTAGCTTTGAATTTCCATTAATCACGCAACTGTTGTTTTATGTAAATTTAGGATGATAATCCCATCACTCAAAAAGTATGCTGTTGCTCAAATAATCTCTGACATTTTCACAAAAGCTTGATCTGATTTATATGTTACTCTTTAATAGCTTGTCAAATCTCTACTAGATAAATTGGGTTATCGTTATATGGGAGCAGCAGACGGAAAGGAAGCTATTGAATTAGTGCGAGCGCAGTACGAGACGAGTGTGTCTTCTCGTTCAAATGTGGAAATTTCATTGATTTTAATGGACTGTGCAATGGTACGTATCAGCCCTTTATAAAATTAAAGAGCACTTTTTATAATCGTTGATTATTTATTCGCGCCTTGTCGACTTGTGCTGAATCTTTTCTAAACTCTAGCCTGGTATGTCGGGTTTCGAGACAACTCGAGCAATCAGGTCCTTGGGTCCGGAGCTTCAAGACCTCCCAATTATTGCATTGACTGCATCCGCCCTAGAAGAGACTCGCGAACAGTGCTTGCAAGCAGGCATGAATGATTATCTAAGCAAGCCACTCTTGCTACAGAATTTGAATGACAAGCTGATTACGTGGTTGGGTGAGGCTGGTCGGTGGGGATGTAATTAACTATTTGTGGGGAATAATTGATAAGAGAAAAAGGATTGTACGCTCCTTTTTCTTTGAGCATACCGAAATGAGCACCTTTAGCGTTCAATCGTAGGTGCAACTAATAAAGGAACGCAAAACTCCAAGCACAACGAATATGTTTATTTCTCCAGACCCAACATTACATTACTCCAAATTTTTAATAATTACATCAAGTAGTTTCTGTTGCAGATGCCCTGGTGATTGCATATTGTAACATATCAATAGTAGGCATTACTACTATTTCCTGCATGATCTCTGAAGGCTCCATCAAGCAATGCCCGGAGGAAGATTCACCGAGCGCCATTTTTCACGGACTAATTCTTCTGCTTTAGCCACCAGGCGTTGGCAAAATTGATAGTGGCCCCAGCAGAGCATTTTGCGAACGGTTTTTCGTGTTATCCTTCTTGTTTTTCGATTTACTATGTTCGACGCCTCAAAAGGGGAGACGATAATGGCATCGAATGAGCAAAATATCGCAATGGTCAAAGAGTTGGGGAATAATGTCTTTAAATATGTTTATGGTATGGTTGTTGGTATTTGAATGGCGGAGCATAAAAGATGCAAATCTTACATGGAGCCTGCATGCAATCTCATGCGCAATCTCATATGGATGCATTGAATGTAGCTATTGTCTACGAAAACGGTTCTGAAGCTTTCGACTACGAATATACAACTCTCTCGGCAATACCCAGGCAAATCGTTAATTGGTCACATTTGCTGCACACGTATGATCAATATCTCACGAGTAAAATAAGTTCATACGTAGACACTAGGCAATTCCATGCAATTCGAATTTTTTTGATACGTTCCGTTGTCTTTGTAAATATATTAAAATTGATATTAATTATATTATTTTACATTAAATTCCGATTATAACATTGTAAAATACATCCTAATTTTTCTATTAATTAAAATTACTACGATAATAAAACAACCATCCCCACAGAAATCAAAATGCCTAGCAACAAGTTAATCATCTGCGCAAGATGATTCTGCCCTCCACTCGTCTGCGAAAGACCTCCACTTGTATCTCCTGAACCCTTTCTAATTCGGATAACCTCTCCAGTTGCATCGGACGATACAAACATTACTCCTTTCCTGAACACGGCGTTTACTGGACGCATGCATTTTAAGTTTGCCTTCCCTGCACATTTCGTTGCAGCATCCGTTTGTCCAAACACATCTTGAGTATCTCCAGTCGGCATCGGATTGCTCGTATTTTGTGTGAAAGGAATGCGAATGACTTTGTAACCAGTAGGTACGTTTCTATCCCACGATCCATGGAATGCAACGAATGCGTCTCCCTTCATAGAACAATCAAAACTTTGTGTTGCATTGCAATTATCTCCGTCATAGAACGTAATCCCAAGCGGGGCAGAATGTCCCGGAAGGGCTAACACTGGAGGACGGTTATTGGATACGTTTGCACACCAAGCATCAGTATGTATTCCGTCGTTCATAAAATCAGGCCATGCCCACTGAGATCCTCTTCCTTTCCCCAAACCTCCTGGAATATTATATTCCGTCCAACAAAATGGATATCCGTAAAATGTTCCATCTGGCCCATCAAAGAGATTTAATTCCTCGGCAGGATTCTCCTCATGTATGTCGCCACCAAGATCTGCGCGCGCCAAGTTATCCGCACCATTTTCTACTCCCCAAAGTCTCCCGTAAAAATCAAACGTGAGTCCTACTTCGTTCCTCAATCCATCTGCAAACACCTTGGCTGTTAAAAAGTCGTATCCACCAGCAGGAATTGTTTGAATATCAACTACACGGATTCGCGAACGACTTGAATCGGCATCGACGTTCTGATCGGATCCTACGCTAATATACAAATTAGTATCTTTAAGAGCCAAAGTTCGTGTACGATGTCCTTGTGGTGCTCCACCATGTCCATTTGCATTCATGCTGTGTACAATTATTTCTGGAGTTGTCATGTTGGCCACTTGCGTTCTTTGTGCAGCTTCGTATTTCCATCGATACACGGTAGTATCCGAAGATGCATAGAGATAACCTTGATAAAAGGCCATTCCGTGAGATAAATCCAGATTGGCTTGCACAATGACAGATTGTTGAACGACTCCTGAAGCATCTTCCCATAATGCCATTATTTGCCCAGCCTTATTGTCTCTTGCAAGGACGAGAATATCACCAGCCGGGTCAACAAGTAATGTTCGTGCGCCCGCAAGACCGTTCGCATACAGTTCAGGAGTATAGCCGTCCCAAGCAAAGCCATCTGGATACGGTACAGGGGCTACAGTGTAAAGCGTGAGGAAAAGGAGAAATAAGACAAGATCTGGCAGCATCATTTTTTCCCGGTGAATCGACAATTATAGGACCTGACAAATATATGTATATACCGGCAAACCCTTGTATCATGTCGTACTGCAAAATGTCTATGATGAATGCCTTACTTGTATTTGTTTGGCGTCAAAATACGTAATCGATATACACCATGTGTAACGAGATTCATCACGATTACCTTCTGGTCAATGCATACCCGTTCATTAGCGTTCAATGTGCTACCTATTACCGATACCAACGTAATAATCTGGTACATCATAGATAATCGCAAGACTTTGTCTGCTACTTCATGTTGCTTTCAATGTTATTGGTGAGGGAAAGGAATGCTTTCCAATTAAGTGACTGCTGCATAGATCTACCATGCAAAGCAACCAGTTGCTCCTTCAAACCAAGAGTCAGAACATGGCCGGCCTGAAAAAGTCTCAGTTCCGCCCTCACAAAAATAAATGCCGTGTGAATCTGTAACATCGTACAATGGACTTGTGATTACCTGCCAGGTTGCACAATCTGGCAAGAAAATTCCCGATGGAAATATTAATATGGGGGTTGAATATCAGTAGTGTTACAAAGATCGGGTCCCAATCTAACAAAAGGTTTTTTTGCCGATCAATAGTAAACAGTTTAATACATGTTATAAAATGGAGCCTAAGCTCCATTATAATTAGTTTATGAAGTGTTAAAACCGTCTATTATAATTCTGGATTGTTATATTTTGTATTATGCTTGAACGTTAAAATTAAAATCGGGGGTTTTTTTTCTGTTTGTTTGTTGAATTTGTGATTATGTGATTGGTGGTATTACCACTACTGCGATATCATATTGGTTACTTTATTAGGGAAGAAAAAGTTTGAGCAATTAATATTGTGCGATCCTTCCGTTTCATTCACAGTGTGAGTGCTATCAACTGTACAGGATGAAACAGCAGTGTTTGGTTACTTTTATTAATTTTGTAAGAACAGACTTTTTGGTCTTGTCTGCCGTTGGGTTTTTTTGCTCGAAGACGCTTCGAAAGTAGCAATCTTTTTCCTTGTTGGCGTCAGCAATCTGGTCTTCTATATTTCATGGGCAAATTATTTTAGAAGTAAATACCTGTTGTATAAGCGAATACTTTTTTGCCTTTCTATGGTATTATATCGAAAGCTAATTTCCACATTTGTGTGCTACTCAAATACGGCGCAACTATGATATCTTCGGTAATATTCGGGTGTTAATGGTTCTATATCTACAAGTAAATGTACCGCATTTAGTTTGGAAAATTTGCGCTGCTAGAGGACGACGCTATAGGTGTCGTAGTACGATGCAAGATAAGATAAAAGAATACCTCCATAGTATACATTCTATTAAGAAAATTCGCTGACCTAATAAACGAACCTCCACAAATCGAAGACCTCAACTATTTAAAGAATTGTTACCAAACAATCTTGAACCTTAACTCTTGATTCAAACACTGATAGTGCTGTTATCTATGAAACATGTTACAGCAGAGAATATGTAAACCTAAAAATTCGGTTCAACTTAAACACCAACAATAGAGGACATTGTTCAGCGATTCAAGAGCCACCCGAGTATGAGCCATTTGAAGAACCACTTCCAAATATATCTCTAATGGTACAAAATGGTATTGCGTAATTTACATCAGAGTATTGAGTTTTTGAGGTCTTTATTAGGTACGTATCGGAGTATTGATTGTTAGTACTAATTAATTGTCAAGTAACTCAGCATACCCCCAGTAGCAATTTTGTTGACGCCCGTCGACTTTATCTTATCGAATTGGACTATGTACCTCAGAATGAGTTCACATGTTGGTAGATACTAGCAAAATTAAAATAATCGAAAACTTCCAGTAATAATTTCGAAATAGCTTTGCCTTTTGAACAAATTCTTCGTTGATTAGTTCCATTTACAGAAACAGACTATCTCTGAAATTGATGCAATTTTTTTGGATAAATTATTTAAATTTTAGATAGTAGCGGGGTTTGTTGTTTCTTTCGTTTGTGTGTGGGTGTGTGTGGGTGTTAGAATAAAAGCGTTCAGTAGCTTAAAACAATGGCTTAATAGCGAAGTTCGGATCCTGGACTTTTTATGTCAAACTGAGAGTAATACTCTTTATCCATACTGTCATCATCTATTATCCAAATCATTGTTTTCTAACCAGTCGAAAGAAGAAGAAATTGAGATTTGATCAGCATCAAGTTTATTCGTTTAAAACGTTATTAGAGATGCTAATGTCATTACATCTCAATCATATTATTATTCCCTTCGGGACTGCTTTGCAATAAATCTATCTGCAATAATCGGACATATTAGAACCACACTTACCCTTAAGCTAAATTTTTTATCCATGATTGCCAGTGAAGATCGAGCGATCCCTCATACTAAATAATTTGTGAATGAACTGAGGTGTAGAAAAAAGCAGAGTTGGCACGGTTAAAGCAGATCCTTCGGATAGCAATTCAAATTCTTCCACATCTGGTTCGGGATCAGAAGATAAGCATATATATATAACTGTGGCTGTTATACATCCGAAGCGATGTCGCAAAGTAAAAAAGAAAAATTAATTATAACCGCGAAATCACATCACGTTATAATGGGCCTCAGGGGAGCGATGTCATGTGTTTTAAATCCGCGAATCAGAGATCAGCATAGAAGTATTTCGGAGAAATGACAGTCTCGTGGAGTGGGGTATATAGTATCCGTTGCTCTGTTACAGTGGCATGGTTATCGAGATTTTCTTCTTCCTCGTCCCCACATTATGAACACGACACTCATATGTAGAACTCAAGTTTATATGCGATCGCACGAAATTTCTATTATTAGCGCAATGACAAATATCAAATGCTTTATTACAAAGTGACCCTATAAATGTTACAACTTTATTGCAAGAGAAACTGATGAATCTTGGCCAATGCTGTAAGCACTGCCCGTCTCCCATCTGGTTGTGCAAGGTCGAAACCACTCCTCAAACCATTTTGCCCAGGCCATCGTCGAATTACAACTACCTGTTTTTTTGGCAAACCCCTACCAAGTTCCTGCAAATATGCTTTAGGAATCTCTGCCTTATAAAATGTAACATAAGTTGAAATGATACGAACAGCGAATAAATTCTAATCCGTAACGTTCTCCCTTGTATTTTCATCGGCCACAGCAAGTATTTCAGCAAGTATTTGTGCTTCCCCAAAATCAGTCGATGCTTTAATGTTTTTTAAATATTTATCCTGTTTGGAAAAGATTTTTGAGTCCAAAAAAATATGGGTCCTAAGAATCCTAACACACAAACCTCGACAATCGTCATAACAACATTTTTCTATTATAAATTCAGCTACTGCTGTGACATTTATATCACTAACAGATAGTTTGTAGCTTTCTTTGAGTCTAGGTTTGGATGTGATGCAGACTTCAGAAGTCATTAGAGCACACAATAAAGACATTTTTTAGTATTACTCACTTAACACCCAATGGCCAATTATCGAAGTCAATAGCGCGATATAGTAGATGGGCTACTAATGAGTCGGTCTTAGATTCCTCTGTTCCTATGTCGAGGCCTGCATTTATGGCAACTTTGTGAACTTTGTGAATAAATCCTTTGGCGTGTCCATCCGAAATTCTGATCTCGCCAACATCGAAGGTAGAACTTCCGAGAATAGCACGACCGATGTCTGGGAGAGTGTATGTATCTGGAAAGTTTGTGGCTAGACAATATTTAGACTATAAGTATAGGTTCGCGAAAAGGATTGTTGACACAACTGAGTTCTTACCTCTAGCATTGGGTATGACTTCGTTTTCGTCAACAGCCGGTATGAAGGTCGCATTCAGCGCCTCCATATCTTCTCTTGCAAATTTAGAAGCTGAAGGAGGAAGATCATTTAGGCCATAGCTGGAACGGGAACTGGAACTAGAACCGCTAAGGTCTGCAAAAAACGAGTCCTGTTTGGCAAGGCGCTCAGGTTGTTGACGAGAGGCAGAAGAGCTCGCACTTTCGGTTTCAACGTTTTTTTGTTTTTTTTGAAGTTTTTTGTCCAGTCTTGTTTGAAGTTTTTTGTCTTTTTTGTTTCTGTTTCCGGCTTTTTAAAGACATCAGTAACACAGGACAACAAAAAAAAAGCTATGTGATAAGAAAAATTTTTCATAAAGACACGCATCGCGAGTTAATCAATCAGATTTATAGCAGTTCACACGATTACATCATGTCTATCGCGAGGGACTTTTATTGTATAAATACAAGGCAAATAAAATTAATCACGTGGAAAGATCGTCCGTTTTCCGCCTCCGAAACGGCCTCGTAGAGTCGGCAATTTCTGGAAATGATTTACGGATCAGCAGCGGAATTTTGGGGGCCGCTGTGTGAGTTTGGTTAGAGTACGTATAAAATCTGATGCACCTGCTGAAGATTATTCATATATAATGCAATGTCGTGATATAAAGCCAAGATACAAAATTTTAAAAGAATTATTGGATAAATATAAAACATCATCAAAACGTATTTATCAAATTTGGAGAGGAGAAGAGGCTAATAGAGTTCTCTGGGATCAACCTATACCTTATTCATATAATACACAAAGTGCACAAATACAGTCTAATATATCCAGCCATGAAGTGACTACCTCTGGCAATAATTCATCTAGTATAAATGATGCAATTCACTCTGAAGTTTCATCAGATAAATCAGCAGAGATGGCACGACCAAAGATTCAAAGTTCTACTTCCTTATGTGCAGTAAAAAAAAAGTATCTCTTCTGATAAGTTTGGTATAAAGGTCCTAGACCAATACGGCCACTTCCTAAAAATCGGCAAAAAGTTTTTACCTGGGGTGGGTTTTGTCGTGCCGACTCCTGCGGGAGAACAGAAAGTAATCGACACTTGGAAATTAACGGAGCGTGGCGCCTCCTATTCAAGTTAAATGTCTAAAGGTACCGTTAGTGACCTTGTCAATACCAAGGCTTTTCACTTACGGGCTTTTTCACCGTAGAATGACGCTTTATCCTAGATATAGAATCGCTCTCGAGTGTATCGGCGGTTATTATCAAGGGATTAATCCGATAATCTCCCGTTTGGGGTACAATGGTTTATCACTTAGATCGAAAAGCTAACGATTAAATATCCTAATTCGCCACTCAGATAATTGCGGGACAAGAGGCAATTATCCTTTGTTGATATAATGGTTTCTCAGATATATCAACTAATTTAGAGAATAGGGTCAATAATATATGTTCAGAGTAAATGCGATACTCATTATTAACAATAAGATATGAATTATAAGGAATATATGGATCTTAATTCACTTAGCGAAACACGAAACATAACACACCGACTCTAGCTGAAACTCCTACTGCTTACATATCTTTTGGTCGGTCTAATTGAGCTATTTTTAGTCGCTGTTTCTAATATTCTATTACTACTCTCCAGTATACGATTTATTTGCGTTTGCACCGGTGCTGTACAACCGTACCATAAATTCCCGTACTAGTACTGCTGCACCCTGAATCCTTTGTACCACTGTCGATTCCGCAGCTGCGCTAGTGTAACTGCTGATTGAAATGTTGCTGCGGCATCGTTGGAGGAACGCATCATGGATGCAAGGTTTTACACAGAAATTTTGGAGCCAGGTAGCCAAGGAGTTTTTAAAGGAAAACTTCCCTGAGGTTATGGACTGGCCTTCTAATAGTCCAGACCTTAATCCTATTGAAAATCTGTGGGGAATTGTTAAACATCGTGTTGAAAAACGTATGCCAAGTAATATTTCTGAGCTGGAGCAATATATGGTGGAGGAGTGGGAAAATATTCCTAATGAATTTTTGACCAACCTTATTTCGTCAATGCGTGACCGTTGTCAGCAAGTAATAGACAATAATGGGAACAAATCAATTATTAATAAAATATGTTTTTTATACTGGTAAAAACCTTGCTTTCTAGCTCTCAAACAAGCCATTCCATGTTAAAATTGAAGCAGTTTCTATGAAGTTATTGTAAAAAAAGCAGAGGCCAATTTTTTTCTTAACACACTGTATCTCAGTATAAATTGTATCCTAATCGATATATCCCCAAATTCTCAGAGCCCAATTTCCCATATCATATAGAAATATACATACCCGTCGTTTCGCATTTCTGGCATCAGCACAAACGCCACTGGTTAACTTAGAATTTATTGGTTCTTTAGAAAGATTCTACGATGATACCTTCTGCTTCGCATTTTGGGTTTCGCTAGATATATAAGCAGTTATCCCATCGTCAAATTCTCATGTTGTAAATGTTGTAAATGTTGTTTAGCTTGTTCATATTATTGTAATTCCCACTCGAATTTTTACTTTTTTTCATCGTTAATATATTAATTAATTAACCGGACACTATAAACGGCTCACTCAAGCCGTAAACAGCTCATTTAAGTTGTATAAATTATCCGTCGATTTAGTACTTTTAATAGAGGAACGAGAGTTGATAATTATTTATTAAAACGAAATTGTTTAATTAGTTTGAGACAAGTGACGGAACCCGACTAGTCGAAAACCCAAATCAAAGTTAGCCCTGTTTAAATTATTAAATAGAATTTTATTCTCCTTCAGGCGCGCCATTTAATTATAAAATAGGTCACTTGGAAGCTAATCTGGTAATAATCCCCGGTCCCTACGCGAAAGATTAATCGCTCTCCCAAACCAAAACCATCCGACCGCAACAATATTAAAATTTGAGATATCATTATTATGTGTAATTTTGCCCAGGCAGTGTATATACATATTAAATAATGGTTATAATATTGTTTATGATATTAGATATAGTAATAACATTAATAGTATACAGTATCGTAAAAAGACTAGTTATTATTATGAAGGTAAAGTAGAAGAGATTCTAGAGATTGTGGATATAGAGGGCCAAGAGAGGAGTTTAATGAAAGAGGAAATGAGTTCTGAGGAAGAAGGAGGAGAGGCAGAGCCAATAAAGTGGAGGTATAAGAAGTCCAAATGGTCCAGAGAACAGCAGATTGGATAAGGCAACCCATTTGTTTGATGGAAGGAGAGTGGTTAGTAGATGAATATAGGGATAAAGGGGATGAATAAGGTAAAATAAAATGAGAAAAGAGGAAAGATAGCCTCCCACTCAAAATAAATCCTATACAAATGCTAACCGCGCATCTGATTATATTATGTCTATGCGATTGAAGAAGAAGAAATGGAGATTGACTGGTTGATAATAGAAATAGAAACCGATGATTCAAAAATGGGAGCCATGATAATGAGTGAAGGCTATTGTCGAGTCAACAATCGCGGAAAAGCGATCGATCGTCAAAACTTCTTGGGATTTAACTTCTCCAATTTTAGTTAAATATAGTAAAAGTTAGTGACCTTTAAACTAGAGTTTTACTACTCACGACATTAACCCTGGACGGTTATTCGCCCTCAAGTTAATCTTCTGTTCGCTACCGGTGGGATTAAATCGGTAGTCTACAGGTTGGGGTATACGTGTATCTATTCAAACGTACATCTCGTCATAAGCGAATAACAATCGTAATGCTTACGAGAATATCCACAAGACAAGAAGCGACTATTCCTAATACATATAGGGATTAGCGGTTCACAATACCGATAATTACCAGAATTATTTATAGATTGTGCAATCTTGACGTTCACTATATTCCGCTTCATCTTTCCAATTTTATTGGTATCATTCGACCGGTTTATCAGCATATTATTCCGGAATGGACAGAAGCAAACGAGTTAATATGTACCTCGCTAAGCAATACACGTCTATTGAGAGCTAGTGTACTTGGTAATAGTAAGCCATATGATTTGTGCATCTTATTGATGAACGTCAAAACTGAAGACGTTGAATTTAGTTATTATTATACAGAAATTGAGATTCCTTATTTCACCTCTTCTTTACTTTTGTTGCTTGGAAATAAGTCTTCCACTATTGAATTTATTGATTATATAAATTATTAAAGATTGTCCCATCCTGAAATGGGTCGTAACAATAATAAGTTTATCGCAAACGACTTAAATACAACTAAGTTTAGTCGATGAGTTACAACTATGCCACTAAATCAAGCGATTATCAGCTACATTAGCTAATTTTCCAGCCGCACCAGCAAATTTCATAAGATTCAGTGAATTTCTTTGGTTTGATTGAGACGACCTACCCAAATTTGAGCTCAATATGGTCTGCAGCCCGCAGAACAACATTCACTAGTTGAGATAGCAGATAGACATTGTCGATGTGAATTCATTTCAACTAAAAAACTATCACTTCAATAAGGCATAATATATACAATTTGAGGTAGCGAGTTCCCATCAAACACAGGACGAATGATAAAGGATTCATTCTCCTCGTCTCAATTATCGTTCTATCCAGCATGCAAAAGCACCTTGTCAAATAAAGTAGATAGCCAGACTGTATTTTAAAATATTTACAGTACAGTAGAGTACAAGACACATCATCAAGATGAAGAAGGTTGAAATATCATATATAAACAACAATTCGTCAACCATAGAAAAAAGTGCATAGGTTCTATTGCGAGCTTCATCGCCACTATTTTTGAGGCAGCTCATCAATATGCCCCTATTTGCAAATTGTGTAAGGCTATGTACAGGAAAGGATCATGTTACAAACATAACAAGTATAAATAATAGATTAAGTCTGATTTTCATAATATTCCATGTGCATATGCAGAAAGGACAGCTTGTAGCAAAGCCTTCCATATGAATATCATAACGAAGCAGAGGAAAAAAGTCAAATCATATCAGAAGTATCGTACGCATGGCCATGCCTCATATGTCACACTACTACTTCCTCGTTCGGGTTCCCATATATTTGTTGCATAAATGTGGCATCGTCTGTCAATGGCAAACTTAGACTACCGACAGTCTCAATGCCAAAAATCGCCGGGCTTGACTGACTCCATTGACCGGTAATACTTGCTCCATCATTGGATTTGAGGCCAACATCAGCAACTGATTGTTTAGAATTTTTGATGTCAAACCCGTTATTCCATACATTGCGTTCTTTAGCAAAAGACCAAAGCGCCGAATCTAAGCTGAACCCACGCTCCAAATGAGGCGCATCATGTACAACTTGATCGTTTGATTGACTAATCGCTCCGAACGCTGGAACGTTGAAAGGCAACGTCTGACTACAAGACGAATTCTGCAAATCACTGACATAGTTCGTCGTTCCACCTGCTTGAAATTCTTCAAAAATGTAACGATTCACTGGTTCGGAAAACCGTCTTTTTGTCTGTAAGTAGATTGCGTTAAAAATCAAATTACTCTCGTTGAGAATTTTACAACCAATATGACTACTTACCTGTACTGCAGGCATTGCCAAGAACTGATGTGCATTTGCGTCGTTATAGAGAGTCTCGTCTTCAATAATCGTAGTTAGCTGTTGCTTTTCCTCAGGAGTATTGACTAATTTCATGTTCAAGAGCGAGGCCATTAACTCGGGAGGGCAAGAATTTCGGCGAGAGAGAGAAAAGCCCGATGGCTGTAAACAGTCGGCTGGATCAGCAGCTGATGCAGGATATTTGTCACTAATGACGGAGCTCACAGACGGACTGTATTGCCGATAGTCGGTGAAATATTCGGGGATAGAAACTGCAGACTGAGGAGTCCCTAATGGAATAAAATCATTTATCGAATCGTACATATTCGATACAAATCCTGCTGGTTGCCCGGATTGATCAAGAGAAATATTATCTTGCATCCATTCTTGAACGGCATCCGCTTGTGGCTTCTGATAAAATTGTTGCAGCTGTCGTTGCTGCATCATAAGTTGATACTCTTCTTGTGTTTCAGGTATCTTAATAGGATCTATGGATGGCTTCGTTCGAGATACCTTTTCAGTTGTGCTTCTTTCACCCATTAGAATGTTGTTCGCCAGAAGACATGTTGATTGCTCGACATACAATCCCTCGCTGTCGGTTTCACTCAGGGAGGGAAATACTTCTTCGCAACAAGGTATGCCTTCCTCGCACTTTGTGCTAGGCTCATCATTATCACAGGTTACAGTTTCTTTGAGATGCTTTGCACAGTCATTTGTATGTTCAGTCGTTAAATATATTTCCTCCTCTATACCAAAGTCACCATCCTCTCCCTCGTTACTTTGACTATCCTCGGTAACCTTCACTTTCTTTGCTTTGGCTCGACGGTTTTGAAACCAGACCTGTACCCCACGTGGGGTCATATTTAATTTCTGGGCTAAAATTTGACGGACAGCGGCGTGGGGTTTAGGGTTTTCATTAAAGGCTCTCTCGAGAACTTTAAGTTGATACCGAGACGTGCGACGCCTATGCTTAACTTCGAAGGGATTATAAAATGTGGGTTTGAAGTCACCGTGAGGTGATTGAGGAAAAGCGTCAAACATTTGTGGAGCAGGATGAGACTGCGCTTCCAGTGCCGGAGACGGGGGTGATGAGAGTGAAGTAGTTTCAGATATTTCCTTGTCGTTCTTTTGGTTCATTTTCCTTTGTTTGCTTTCGTTTTTCTGTTGATAAGAAGGGATTATGCAGTGTTATCACAAAGGTATTGTTCGGGTTGTCAATGTTAAAAGGAGATAGGCTTGTAACTGAAAAAGAGTGATTCAAGCTCTGTCTCGTGATAGAAGAGAGAGGGAAAAAACGAGAAGCCAAATGTTGCAAAACTTGGTATAAGCCACAAAGCAGCAGTGATTGGGTGATGGCGAGCAACCATTCCCGCTCTTTTTATTCTGTCCAATAAAATTGAAACGATTGACAACGCAAATGTGGAGGACTCGACAATTCTGGCAGAATAGCGTGTGCCCTGAATAGGAAGGAACACCAGTGGCTCAGAAAGGTTGTTCTTCCGACTGGCGGTTATAATAAGTTCGGTTCTATAAATAGCCAAATTCCAATTTTAACTTAAAAATCTCATTTTCTTTTCTACAGGATTTACTAAGAAAAGGCGGTATAATAATAATATCAGAGAAAGATGGAGTGATTTTATATATTTGCGCCTGAGGGATTTTATAGTCAACAAATTAATTACTCGAGAATATGCTGGACTGAATACGCATTCATACACAAAGACAAATGACCATGTGAAGTTACGCATTTTACTGTAACTAGGTAGTCTACTAACTAACTTGAGCTGTCATATTGAGCGTGCTGCAACAAAACCGGACTAAGTGGACATAACATATTCCGGGATTCAAAACTTTGCTCCCCAAAAGTTGGATTAATGACCAATAGACGAGCTAATTACTTCTCTATTGACTTCCTACTTTGAAACAGATCAACAAAAAACGACAGACACATTAACCTGTATTAACGTTTATCCAAGGAAGAAGCAAATAAGTTGTAACTCTCATAGTTCGGACTACGACAATGTAATTATTGTCACGTTTGTCTTGCTGCAAGACGTATCTATGTTGTGTCTGTAATAAGACGGTACAAACATTTCCACACTCTTGCCAAAAGTATGATGGATACAAGATTTTACTAGTAAAAAATATGAAATATCAGTTTTTCAAGTCACCGGCACTCCATATTTTCTCAAATAAAATTAATTGAGAAGTATCAGCAATATTAAGATGTCAACGATTATCGTATACACGTTCGCTAAAAGTATAATAATATTGATTACGTAAGTGAAGCTGCAACAGTAATATCTTAGAATTGCTAAAACCACAATAATTTAGCTTTAAATTGGTATAAATTTTATGGCATTGTTTGAAAAACAAAAAAAGGAATGCCAGTAGACTTGAAAAAACTGGAGTTTAGCACTATCAAAAATACAATAATTATTGTCACGTGGCTTTAAAAATTATTCAAGGTACTGTCGGCAATGTATATACCGGAATCTCTTTATACCGGACGGACAGATTCTTGCGCACCGTTCGTTTCATATGAAAAGTCTTTGTTTATACCGGCGTCTCTTATAAAGTTTCCATATACCGGTTCCGGAAGGACACAGAGAACTATGCCAACCCGTCCGGTATAAACAGAGTTGACTGTACTCCATAGCAATTGGTTTTCTGTCTTGATTACTGAGGTAATAATAGTAATGGTAAGTGCTTTTGTTATCACCGCGTATAGTCAGTCGATGAAAGATTATACTGTAACATGTATCCGTGAGTCATATAAAATCGACCAGCTTTATATACGACTGTTGTATGAAACTGATTTTTCCTTACATGTTATAATCAGCCTCAATTGAAAAATAATAAATAATCGGATAATAAATAATATTATCCTTAATTCATTACAATTAGCATGTAGCATATTAATATAGGTTATATCGTTTAATAAAGCATCATCAGTTGCGTACAGTTCTCCATCAATAAAAGTGCGTTTTAGCGGTGCTCAGCAATTTAACCTACAAAAAGATTTTCATACATGTTTACATTAATCGATTATTTTTCTCACTTCGACGTGAATTTTCTCTTTGACAGCAATGCGGCAACAATAATTGTATAAGAAACAATTTAAGATTGCATAAGTTATTAAAGACCATGTCAGGTTACATCTTGTTCTGTGGCTCTCCGAGCCGTGTGTTCGGAGTTGCATTTTTGTATTATGCTAAAGCGGTATTTTATTGAACATTCCTGTTCCATTAATGTGTTGTAACACTAAGTCGAGGTCGTCGCTATAAGCATTCAAAGTTTTCAAAGCGGTTGGATTATTAACTACTATGATTATGTACAGAAGAAGGTAATTATGGCCAAGCTATATAAATATAGTACTGCAAATTTACCAATTTATCAAAACAAAAATAATGTATCAAGTATAACGCGATACCTAATTAGCTGACTTTGAAATTTAGCTCGTTGCTCAGCCTTGACCTTCTCTTCGATCGTTGGCTGTTCTTGAGCTTTCTGGCTCACGTCGTTAATGCAGTATTGTTAAAAATAGTTCTGATGTATGAAAACCGGTTGATTGCAATCCTTAATATTAATGGCTTGGACAATCACAAATCTGAACAATTAATTTTGTTAATTTAAATTATTGTTTCTTGAACACCGTTCGCCGTAATACTTAGAGCAATTATATTAAATGATCAGAATTGTATATTATCAAGATGTTTGTTGGAATAGGAACATAAGAACATATCGAGAATGAGATGTATTCTACGCGTACTCCTATTTATGACAAATCATCGTCACACACTTAATATGTCTAAATTAATAATATTTGTTATCCTTTTTTCTTTTATACAGTGTGTTGCGAAAAAAATGGCGCACAAATAAACTTGTATATCTCAACAATTACCCAACTGAGACAAATGAAAGTGGACTTATTTTAAAGCTTATAAACTACTTTATTAAGTATAAAAATTTTAATACGAAATTCTATCCCCATTTTTTTGTAACACTAGTTCACAACGATTTTTCATAGATCCGATTAAATTTGTACATCCCGAGGAATTTTATCCCACTCTTCTACCATAAATTCCTTTAACTCACCAATATCTTTAGGCATTCTTTTTTCCACATTGATTTTAACAATCTGCCACATATTCTCGATGGGATTCAGATCAGGGCTGTTAGATGGCCACTCTATTACATGAATGTTGTTTTGAGATAAAAAATCCTTCGCAACACGTAAAGCGTGCTTAGGATTATTATCTTGTTGCAGACACCATCTTCTATCGTACAACTGTTGGCCAAACGGAAGAAGCTGGGTTTGCAAAATATTTACATAAAAGGGACCATCAATAATGTCTGTAAAGCAAAATAAGGACGTTTTGCTGTTCATCGAAATTCCACCCCAAGCCATTACTTTGTGTAACCTTGGGCGAACGAGAATAGTTCGAAGGGGAATCTTTGTATTTTGGTGTATTTCTTTGGCAGAATAAATTACATTTAGCCAATAATGTAAAATTGTTTGACGCTGTGCTTCGAGCTTTGTGTTGACCATGTTTACAAGGTTCAAGTGAGAAACTAATCAAGGAGAAGGGCGTTTTATTTTTGCAAATGTAATTAATGACAAGTAAATAAACTTATATAATATAGAAGTCATGTAAACAAACGCGTTTTTCTTTTGTTATTCAAAAAACTAATCTTTCAATTTACGCGCCATTTTTTTCGCAACACACTGTACGTACCATGTAAAGCACGATAATTACGTATCGTCGTGAAATTTATAGTGGCAGGATCTATGTTACACTGTTTTCATAGTGTAATATAGAAGTTGTCATAATTAAAACGAAATTTGGGCCTTTAACAAAAAGCCTAAAAAATTGTCCCCAAAATTTTTTAAATTTTCATACTAAAATAGGGAAAAAAGTCGATTTAATCTGATGTCGTTTTAATCTGTCACAATAATTTTTTTTCCGAAATATACAATCAATTATCTTCAAGACGATACGCAATTATCGTGTCTTACACAGTGCATATAGACAATAGAAATTTCGAAACAAAAAAAGATTTCTCAAGGAGTAAATCATCGACAGTTGGTGCTTCTAATCGTATGAATATCTGATTTCAATGTAAAATTGCAATTTAGTACATAATAAGATGTGTTATTATCTCAAATAAAAATTTTTATTGACATCATATGTGATGGCATTTCTACACAACTCCAACAAAATATAAGTCTGCTGTGAGTTTGTCATTCGTTATCGGAATTCTCATAGTACGGTAATTTTAATGACGTGAACATAATTCTCAGAGCAATTAAAATTTATTACATGTAGAAAAAAACTTTGTTATTTTGTTCTCAACCACAACTATATAAAGCGCAGGTAGAAGAGAATACAAAAAGTAGAAAACAAGGTTGCAGAGGAATTACTTCAGCGGCTATTGAGTAGAATTTTTCTTATTTCGATATGATTTATAAAGCTTTACACTACGAGCTTGTGTTTGGCCTGTCTACCCATTTCTTTATTATTCTTATGTTCAGTGACGTCTTAATATGTTGACTATGCCAACTTAATCTGAAATAAAGTAACTAACAATACGCAAATATTAAGCGAGATAATTGATGGCTACAGTGAAGAATTAACCCTATCAATTAGAGTTTTTTTTTTCGTTTAATTCGAAGAGATACTTTTAGCAACTATTTTATAAACCACTAGAGTTTTTTTATCAGATCAGGTGAACGAAAACAAACTAAGTTCAGAAACGGATAGAGTTTAGCTTATAGCAGACTCATGATACAGTAGCAGACTTGTATAACGTTGGGAATTACCTGATCATATAGAAGTTAAATAAGATTACGAAAATTTATCGTCAAATTCAACCTAACACAACTTTGAAAAGTGTTCGTTTTAAAGTAACCAACTAAAAAGCTTCAAATATATATATATTATGTAGTGATTAAAACATAAAAATGTAAATTTGTACCAAGACTAAAACAAATACTACAGCCAACTGCCTTTCATTCGACCGCCTGCGTTCCGGAGTCATCGTTCGAATTAACGTACAGGTCGAATTAACGGCAGACGTACTTAAGGAAGAACAATCATATTAAAAAATCGGGTCGATCGAATTACTGGGAAAGTCGAATTATAGGGAATCGAATTATTGGTAATAGCTTAGCATGTACGTGTGGCTTGGAAATATAAGAAAAATCACAAGATGCATCTGTAAATCAAAAACTCAAAAACAGAAATTAGTATTAGTATTAGGGCGTTTCTGCCATCCCAATTATAATTACTATTACTTTACAAGAATCAATAACGCCATTAGACTGATATGATTGCTGAAATAATCCACAGTTTTATTTTTTATTTATTTCCCTAAATGTAATGGTCCAACAGCAAAATTAGCCAAGAAGCTTGAATTAGAGTTAGCAAAAAGCTAAAGGATTTGATTATTACAAATTATGATGCTGACTAACTGTTGAGCATAATAATAAAGAAACTTTTGGTAATAGCTGTAATGATGAGCGAGCTGAAACTAACAACTAACTTTGGGTCATCTCCATGATAAATGATAAATTCGGTAATATTTCAGGTCTATCAAAATCGATACACTAACACATGACCTACCACAAACGAACATTGCGCGCAGATTTATCAAACCTTGACCAAAGACAACTATTTCAAACAGCATGGCTCTTTCAAAGAGGATCATAAAGGTATATGTAGTAACCGAACTGTTGTCTAGGAATTTTTACTGGAGCGGGTTACCCAGCGGCAAGTGTCGTGTTTCTGTGCCAGAGTCGTGGGGGGCATCGGTAGACCCATATAGATATTAGCTAAACGCTGTTGCTGATTTTGGGTCATGAAAGGAAACGGAACGCTTGCTTCAAGAACCTGCACCCGGCATTAGTGCGACCCCTCACGAAGATAATTTACGTTACTTTGATGTTATTATCGCTGGACCTAGTCAATCCCCTTTTGAAGGTATGGAACAGTTTGATGTGATCGTTTAACGTTTCCTTTACTTTGTACCCTGACCCAGCCAGATCTACTTTTCCTTTATGCGACATAGGTGGTGTCTTTAATCTTGAACTCTTTCTTCCCGAAGATTACCCGATGGCCCCACCAAAAGTCAGATTTTTGACTAAGATATACCATCCTAACATCGATAAACTTGGTAGGATTTGCTTAGATATTCTCAAAGGTATAAAATTATTCTCTCTATCTTATATTTGTCTCGTCTTTATTATAAAATCATTCTCATTACTATATTTGTTGAGTTCTACAGATAAATGGTCTCCCGCATTGCAGATTCGCACCGTACTTCTCTCTATACAAGCTTTATTGTCTGCCCCAAATCCTGACGATCCGTTGGCGAATGATGTGGCCCAACATTGGAAAGAAAACGAACAAGCTGCCATTGCTACTGGTAAGGAAAACACTTAAACGTAGTTTTGATCGCATTTATTGTCTTACACCAGCCTTTAATTCCTATCAACATTATTCTTTACTCAGCTCGAGAATGGACTCGAAGTTACGCGCAAGGCTAAAATGATGAAACATAATTCTAGTTCGGCGTGATTTGCGAGAGTCTAGAAAGACTTTTTATTTAGACATTATTTATGGTTCTTCAACCAGTTTAAATTTACCAGTAGCTACATATATTGATTACAAATTGTCCTGATGTACAGATACTACACAGGATGACAAATAGACTGTTTGTTGTATTTGAGTTAGGTTGATAAATTGTTTTCAACAGGTTTCTGCAACAAAGAAAAGCGCATATTAGATTTTTTTTTCAAGTTATCAAGGCTAGATTGCTCAAGTTTACAAGTGGTTAACTAACCAGTTCACCCTGTTTTCCTCCCTCCCACTTGGCGTATTTCAGTCCTTGTTCGTCTCGCTTTTGTGCTATAAGACGTTGTTCTTCCTTTAATGCATTGCGGACAGTTCGAGCACATATTTGAACGTACTGTAGATAACTAAATGTGAAAAAACAAACCTGTGTATTAATTTGGTGACATAATGTGTGCAAACTTGACCGTTTGCTCAAACTACTATGATACTGATGAGATATTGCTCTAATACGCAATGAACGATCATTTATGAACCAACCTTATACCAGCTGCTTTCCAAGCGAACGACATGTTTATATTGGCGAGATTGATATGGAAGATGCAAAATAGTGCAGAAAACGATTACCATTATTTATGTTACACGTGGGATAAATTTGTGTGATGGAATTATGAAATTAATGTACCGTTTTATTAAGCCCCCGTTATAAATATTGGTATTAATTAATTCAAGAAGTCTCTGATTTTTATTATTATCGCCTAAGCGTGAACCCATCAACCCAAAAGATTGATTGATGTTACTTAACATCTTCGCTCGTTAATTGAACTAAAGGCAGAAAAACTACAGCGTTAAGAGTCTGGACCCCTGAAATGTGTATGTCACATGATATGGAGATGGTATCCAAAAATAGTAACAGTAATAGTAAAGCTTTTCGTTTATAAACATGTTAAAACCAAGATGTCTGAGCATTTACGCAACAAAATCCTCGTTCTTGGTCGCCGCGGTGTGGGAAAGCTTTCTCTTGTAAAAAGTAATTGCTTATTCAATGTCCAGAGATCCCTTTATTTTCATTTCCACCCAGTCTGACCAATTAATTTCCAGGAATTCTGGAATCAACTTCGCAAGAGTTTCGAGCTCATGAACTAGATAATCATTCTGGTCTAAAGGTTCCATGGAATATTGCAACAAGATATTACGTGGCGGACGTTCATTTTTGGATTGAGGAAACCGATGATGTTAATCAACAAATCCTCAATGAATATATGGACGAAGAGAACGGTATTGGGCGTGTAGTAGATGCAATAATCTTTGTCTTTCAAAAAGATAAGGTTGTCCTTATATGGATAATGCACACCTTCGAATGACAAGTCGTCTACACGCAAGTACTGATTTATGTTTCAAAATATACAGCCTACAAGTTTTGACGATATAAAGATGTTTCTGCCGTTTTCCCAGAAATATGAGCCTTCGATACTGCTTACTGTTGGTTCTGGCACTTCTGTGCTTGATCCTGAAGAGAACGTGTATAATTCTTGGTGTTTGAGTAATGGATTTGAGTTCATTGATTTGGAAGTAAGTCCATCAGTTTCTGATGGTAGGCATATGTTATTTGTCTACAGAATCATCGTCCATTACGAAGTAAGTTTCTGAGCATCAATATTATGCATGTGAATTACAATAGAGTCTGCTGGATTGATGCGGATACTTGAAGCCTTACAATCTCACGTTTGGGATGGATTTCAAAGAATACAACAGAATGAAATAAGAGACAACGAGGCGTATTTGGATTCTAACGCTGAGAGAGGTCGGTTTATAGCGAATGTTGATAGACTCAAGCGTTATGGTTGCGAGAATTTTTTTTTTTTAAAAAAAAAAAAAATGCTTCATCGCTACAGATTCAAGACGTTTTGTCCAAGATATGAATCCATTATTATTTAATCAGAATGTTGATGAAAACATCGAATTATTTGGAGATGGTAAGTCTGCTCAAACTTTCAGTCCTCTCGTGTGTTTGTAATTTTCAGTGGTTTATAATGCATTCTTTCAGTCCTTCCAACCGAAGCTGAGCTTGGCTTAATACGTGAGCAACTCTTTGGAGATCTTGATGATGATGATGGCTTGGACAGAGTCCTTACGCGGTTGCACAGTTTGAGAGGTATTTATTCGTTAACAATAAGATGGAATATATACCCTACCGTCTATTGATATCTATAATATATTCATAGAACGAGGGCAGTCTCTTCCTGATGATGAACGAAGAAGGTTAGCAGCAAGTGTAGCTTGGTCTTTTGGAATGCAGTTCGGTGGTTTGAGGTAACAGGTGACGACTGGCAACATAGCAAAATTGTTGTATAGTATTTTCATAATATTATTATCTCTTGTAATTATGCAATTTGCGTCGTCTATGGATGTGAAATAAACGCTCCGGTCATAGCACAATTACTTTTTTGGTTGGTATAGTGAAGCAAAACATCACTGACAAGTATACATGGTTTGATTATGTTGAGGGAACCTCCGACACGGTTTTTGGACCATTATATTATATCTATTACCTCGACCTATACAAGTATACCCAAACCTATAGGCTTCCGAATTAATCCCATCGGAAGGGAATAGTCGATTAACTCGAGGGCGAATAACTGTCTGCATTATTGGAACATCAATGTGCGCTCAGCTAAGAAATTCACATGGCCACAAATATTCCCATGCGTACAATTTACAACAATCTCAAAAAAATAGAACAAAATCATGGCAAGCTTAATCGCAAAAAAGGGAGTGGCCGACCAAAGAAAATATCACCAATAATCGCAAAGACAATTGGCCCGTCGATACGTCGAGATTCTAGCATTTCCCTGCAAACACTTGAAACCAAGTTATTGGATAAAGGCTATGTCTCGTGCACATCAATTTCAAGATACCTTTCGCATTTTGGTTATAACAAGAAACTACCAAAAGCTACCCCAATGTTAACTGAGGAACATAAACGAAGACGAGTAGAATGGGCACAAACTCATACAACTGGAATAAGACCGTTTTCACTGATGAAACAGCCTTTCAGCTTTTTCGTAATACAGTGGAACGGTTGTATAAAAATGAACGTCCTACTCGTCGAATACCGAAAGATCGTCAAAAAGTCTTTGCTTGGGGTGGCTTTCTGCAAAAGGTAAAACTGACCTTTTTTGCTTCTCAAGAATAATGGATGCAAAATTTTACGTCGAAATACTAGAGAATCATCTTCCAGATATTCGTACAATGATGGGAAAAGGTTGGCGGTTTCAGCAGACAACGATCCTAAACACACGAACCGTCTTGCTCAGTCGTTTCTTAGGGAGAATGTTCCTCAATTAATAGACTGGCCTGCGAACAGTCCAGGAGACTTAAATCCCATAGAAAATCTATGGCATTTAGTTAAAATAAATGTAGAAAAAAGAATGCCAAAAAAAATCGTGAGGAGTTGGCGCGGTCTATGGTTGAAGAATGGAATTCTATTCCGTTAATCAATCAATGAAACGAAGATGTGAGCTAATTATAGAAAGTAATGGTGAAAGAATACCCTATTAAATTTAAGTCAATAAAACCTCTGCTCATAAGCTATTAAATAAAGCATAAATGCTCTCTCCGTTGTGGCACAATGATCAATAATTCTTTTACCAAATATATGTTGTATATAATTTGTGTCGCTATATAAATCCCGGATTTATATATATAATTTGTGGCAGATCCCCCGAACGCAATTTATACTTGTTTTGTGACAATGTATGTTACATTTCTGTTGAGCTTTTCTACAACGGCATTGACTACTAAGACATGCACTTTGACACATACACTACATCAACGACGCTTTGCGTTTTTGCAGCTTCACTTAATGATAATCTTTGCAAGGTACAGTGGTGTGCAAAAAAAATGAACTTTCTTAAAATCACGTTAGTCTCACAAGTATTGCATCGATTAAAGTGCGTAATGCGTCATTTTAAAGCTGATAAGTAGTAGATTTATTACAAAAGTTTTAATATGATATTCGTTCACCATTTTTCTCAATAACCTCTCTACAGCGCTGAGGCATTGAATTTACGAGATTGATTATAAGACTATTTGGAATATTTCCCCACTCCTCCCCCAAAAAACGCTCTAATTCACTAAGATTTTTTGGCCTACGCAACTCCACATTCCTTTTAACAATTGCCCAAAGGTTTTCAATGGGATTTAGGTCTGGACTATTAGAAGGCCAA